AAGAATCAGCATGGGGGTTTTGGGGGGGTGTATTATACTATAAGTGTATATGTGCATATATATATATATAGTAAGGAACCCCCAAATAATCGTATAAGTATATGTTTTAGGGCCATATATCAAGGGTATCTTCATTGCCAGCCACAATGCCCACAAGCTTTCCAAGTAACTCGACACGTTAGGAAACCCAAAGGAACACTTCCACTCGACAACACCTTGTAAGCGTTAAATGCTCCTCTAGCCAGAATACTTTCCAGATTTGAGTTAGCTCACACCGCAGGACATCGCAAACCCATGATTTGGAGCACTGTATGATCCTGTGTGAACGACACTCCTCAAGGGCTTCTTAAGCATCTTAAACCCTATAAGCCCCACACCGGACACAAACTTTCCCGGCACCTCCGCTTCCAAATTGCTCGGAGTCGCAGCACAGGTGCTCGGGGTAGTCCTGCAAGGCTGATCTACAATGCAGTGGCTTAGCTTCGGGCTGAGGTATAGGGATTAGGGTTTACCGTAACCCGGAATAACCTGCCTTTTTGGGGCTCCATATTATGGTTTCCTTATATACAGGTTATTCCGGGTCAAGGTAGGGTTTAGGAGTTTGGGCGTTCTGGGTTTGAGGTGTTTCCCAACACATTAGGTTTCACGATGCTCGCGGCTTCAAGGTTTTAAAGCTTCGAGGAATTTGGGGTGTCGGGTTGTAAAAATCCCAGTCTGTCCAACACATCCCGTCGCACACCCCGAAACATACCCTGAGACAGAACCGCGAAACATATCCTATTAGGCCCTATTCCGTTCTGACAAACCCATTTCGCTCCAAATCAGGTCATCGTAGCTTCAACTTGCACATGCTGCAAAAAGGGAACGGTGTAGTTTAGGACTCAGCTAAAGCGGGCTGCGCTCGACTACCGGGCTGAGGTATCAGGGCTGAGGTATCAAGATCCGAGCGATCTGTCAACAAATCTTTCTCAAGATATGTTACAGGCTGAATCGCTTGGCCGCGCGACGACGGCACTTGCCATTGAAAAATGATAAGGAACAACAAACAACAAACAACACATGCACCCATCAAGTTATGCCGGAAACATCCGGAAACCGATGAACCCCAAGGCTGCTAAACTTTTCAAAAGAAGCCATCGCCAACCTGATCCCTTCATCTCGAAGCTCCTAAGACACGAAGGCGGGGTTTCTGACGAGATTACATCTCTTCTATCGTTTGACATGACTGTCATGGTCAAGTAAGCCAGCCTCAGCTACCCAGAAGTTTAAGGGTGGAAGAGCTTCAGGGCTTTGGGGTTTAGGGATTGTAATGGACTTGTTCAGCTGGCAATAATACTTAAACCGAGGGTCCCGTCCCAACTGGAACTTAAACCCTAAACCCAAACTCCTAAACCCCAGACCCTTGTCTCATCCTCCACCCCGAAGCAGTCGAACAGCTGGCTGTGCGTGTGCCCGGCGTAGAGGAGAACCTACAAGTGAAGGGGTCTAAGGGCGTCTGGGACTGGGGTTTACGACTTAGAATTTAGAGTTTAGCTACGGCGGAGAGTTGAGGGCTGTATCGTGGGTTGCTGATTACTGGGTCAAGGGTACTACTTTGATAGTTTTAGCACGGCGTTGAGGGTGTTCTATGCCCTTTTTCTGCTCAAGAATCCTGAGGCATGGTCTTCCTAATTCTGCAGGTCCCGATGTTGACCCCCTCATGAAAAAGTTAGAACGGCTGCATCATCGTTAGGCCATTGTCGTTTCTAAGTTTCTCCGCTGCTTTGATCCAGGGCTTTAGGCGCTTAGGCTTGGTCTGGGTTCCATGCACTATCGGCTGACGTCACGCCACAATCATCCCCAAGTGGAGTACCTCCTCCCCAAACACACATCCTTCCACCTGTCAGCACGTGGAGTGTGTTTAGAATGACAGGCATCCTGAGTGCAACTGTAAGCCTCAGGCCCGGGTTGAGATTTGACTGGTTTCTCCAGACTTTACTACACCCCGCCCTTAGAACCATAATACAAATAGCATGTTTAATAGTCTCTTGGGTTTTATATGAACAAAAATGCAAATTTTAAGGAGACTATAGTTTAGTCTCAGTTGCTTGACCCAAATCTTTGCGGGATCTAGGACTTCGGGGGCTTTGGAATTGATTGCTTCCGGGCCGTCGGATTAAGGGCATTGGGTTGCCTTCCAACCTGCAAGACATGCGACGGGCTTCTTTTCCCGCGATGCAAGCCAGAATCCGCAGGGAATATCAAACACATAATCCCAACAGTAACCCCTTAAACATACCGGTAGACTTGATTTGTGAAAGAGGGAGCCCCAAAACTGAAAGCGTCGCTGGTTAAGACTACTTTTGTATTTAAACTCTGAGGATTATTGCGCCTTCTGGCGAACCAATAACTTTGTCAATCAGCCGTGGGGGGACCCCTGAACTTGCAAGGAAGTGAACCCCACACTGCGAGGAGCCCAACAACAATACAGTGCGGGGCTGCGTACTCCAGACCTGTACATGTGTTTCATAGGGGTCTGTAACAGTCCTAGGGTTTAGACATTTTAGCTTAACCTCAACCCTAAGCTTAGTGCCAGCAGCCTGCAACCATCGCAGCAACATGGGGGCCGCCCCGCCTCAAACAACTGTGAAGGGATCAAGCAGAGTAACTTATGGCCTTCGCGGTGGAAACCAGCCCAAAAAAAGGCTAACCCCTTGAGTTATGGTAGGGTTTGATGAAACCGAAAAAGTTGCAGTTGCAGGTTACCTACGCAGCTACAATAAGTGGCTGTCGTCAAAACCCATGATCAGCTGACCAGAGGAGAAACTCCCCAGAACCTAAAACCTTCACCCCCAAACCCCAAGACAAGACGACTAGCAAAGCCCGAAACCCTCAGGCATCCCAAGTAGGATGACCTACCGAGTTAAAACTTTAGCTCTGGGATACAAGCACAAGTACTTTGCGGCTGCAACTTCCCCACAGTGAAAACACTGAGCCCAAACCTAGCAGATCCCAACCAGGAAAACCTACAAGGAAGCACACTACACCGTGTACATCCCCAAACCTTGAGCCCTTGCCGACTAGAGTTGAGATTGGGTATGCGCCTGTATGGCTATGCACGGGGATTTCATAACTAATTGCACAGACCTCCATGGTCAACCCCTGATGCCGCGTATACCCGTACATCTCGCACTAAAACCTCTAAGACTACCAAAGCTCGAAACCATTCAACTTGCAATCCTTCAAATAAGATCCTGCACAAGCCCCTAATCAACGTCAACCAGATGAAACCCCTGTGATGACCCCCAGACCCTAAACCCTTAAACGATACAGTAACAGTAAACCCGGAAGTCTGAACAACCCTAAGTCCTAACCCGTCGTAGTCTCACTGGCCGAAAACCCAAGAAAATGAAAGTTGAAACTTTCAGAATCGACTACCTCAAAAGCTGAAAAGTTGAGTTTACAGCCAATAAGACTATGGGCCTTAAGAATTAGAAGAGGGTTACCTTTCAAGGGTTCCTTCATGGGATCTACAGTAGGGTTCTAGAATATAGGCCTTAATCCTGTAGTAACCCTTGCAGACACACAAAAGCATCCAAGTGGCTCTCGCCTTTCCCTGCTGCCCGGGTGCTTCTTTGGCACGGGCCGGAGGGCGAGGTTTCATGGCTCTGGGGGCTATTTAGATTCTTGGAGCTGGAGCTCAAGGGGCTTAGAGGTTTGGGCTCAAGGGTTGTAGTAGAGGTTTAGGGTTTGGGGCTAAGGGTTTAGGGTTTTTCAGAGGTTTCGGGGCTTGGGGTTTCGAGGGCTTTAAAGGTATGGGCAGGGGGATCGGAGGTGTTGGCCCGGGATCCATTTGTAGTGGTCAAAGGCTTTGGGTTCAGGGTCGTCAAATTCAAGGGTTTAGGGGAACGAAGGAAGATGAGGAAGGAAATTTGGAGACTTACGTTTTGGGTGGGTCTTTCGACTTCGTATCGTCGCGGGCTTAAGGCTTGGTTGCGTGAAGGACATCGGGTCAGGGATTTGGGATGGCGCGGGTTTAGGGGTCAAGGTTGGGCTGTCTGCAACCGGAGCTAGTGTTCGTCTTGAGTTTTCTAGAGGGGTTGAAGATACAGGGGGGGGTTGCTTATCTTATACAGTTGTACCCTTCTCGTCGCAAGAAGCTGGAGCACGGAAACCAGGAAGCGTTCGCGAAAGGGTTCGTGGTGCACTATCAGGACCTGAATAACCAAAATGAGGCTTTCATGTGTATCATTTTGCATGCTTAACACCAAGAACCCTAAGGGACCCTAAACCCTAAACCAATGGTATTACAAAATTCTTCAGGTCCTGTAAGCACAGGCTTCGAGGCTCATAGGACAGGCAGTCCTTGGTTGCATGGCTCGAAACCTGCCCTTTTACAGCTTTGGTCTATACAGGGGTCTTTTTTTAAGTGAATACAGGGGTCTTTTTTTAAGTGAACACAGGGGTCTTTTTTAAATGAATGGTAACACATTATCTATACATCCTGAATCCCGAGTTGATGGCTTCAGGACATTTGAACTGCCTGATTCTTCGCGGCTGCAAATGCAGGGGCACTGGAGCACACAAAGCGGTGGGGTTAGGGCTTTCGGGAAGGGCAGAGTTAGGACTTAACACGGGTTTTCATGTCGGGGCCCGCATGATCCGAATAGGGCTTAGGGTCATGTGGTGGTGTAACCCGGCTGGTGGAACTCTATCACCAACTAGTTAGACCTCTGTGTCAAACTTGACGCGTAAGATTTGCTTGATCCTCACGTAAGCTGCCATGCCACACGACATAGTGAAACGACTGTCCTCATCACATGCGCCCAAGCTAGAGCATCTGTCGCCATTGAACTTGCTAGTTACGTTCGCGATTCTAGTGTTAATGACATGCACCTGCCCAATCGTATCCGGAAGGTACACATCGTAGGACGCGTTAGTCTTTATGGTAGCCATACATCCTGGGCCCCATGGGCAAAGGACTCATCTGTTCAACAAGAATCCCTGCATCGGGAGTCGTCTCACTTGAAGACTCCACCCGAGGAGTTCAGCTGCGTCGAATGGTCCTCGTTTCCATGAACGGTGTACTTCTCGTAGGTCTTGTCCTGGCCGGTTGGGGGTTTAGGTTTCAGGGTACAATGCGTCCCATGGAACTTTGTCCCAAACCCACCCCCACGTACCCTAACCCCCCCTTAACACGGCAACCCAGGGCCTTCAGTTACCTGAAGAATGGATTGCCCGGATACATATTTCAGATTAAATTCATGAATCCTGCTATTAAAGTTACTGGAGCACTATAGAGTAAAATGGGGCCTCAAAAACAAAATAGGCTGTTGGGGCACATTATGCTACAAGTAAACTTGAAGCTAGGAACCCCCGAAATAGTCTAGGTAAGTATTTAAAGCCCGTATATTACTCGAGAGCTTGGCCTTCATATCAGGCAGAAACGACTGCGCACTACTGTAGGGGCCTTAATCATTAGAATGCGGTATATTATACTCATCATGATAATAAGGAGCCGCCACACTATTCATATAGGCGCCTTCATTAAAGCGAAGCTGACGGCAGGCTTGGACCCAAGTCAAGCAACAACAAAGCTTGACAACACCTTAACTTTGGGTTTAGGGTTTGGTGGTTTCGGGCTTGAATTCCGAAGTCAAGGACAACCTGCCTCCACCAACTGCTACCTACTTGTTCGCAGGGCTTCTACGTATTCTATGTTACGGCACATTTCCGGTGCCTGTGAAGAAGTTTAGGTCTGGTAGGGTAAGGCACCTGGTGGTCTTTGTGTTGAAGTTTTGGGTGCATTGCCGCCTGCGCCAAGGACCGACGCATTGAGACTTTTCACCGCAGAGGGTCCCTAAACCCTATAATCCTAAACCCTTCCGGTTTCTATCAAAGCTGCGCATTCGGGCCAAAGGTCCTGAGCCCAAGCAAAAAAACATATCAGGTTTGCACCCAATGCGCCGTAAGGGGCCCAGGGAACTAAAAACAGTAGTGGCCCATACCTTCATTTAGATTAAAGAAGGCTGAACAAAGTAGCGCTGGGCCCCAAAGCCCAATCCCGAATCCCTAAACCCTTCATTGGGTTCCATGGGACTTTACGAACAAGGTGTCCTTGTTGTAGATCTCCCAGCGGGAGGCAGGAAAGACGTGCCTCCAAAGTTCTTTGCTTCAGGGGTTAAGCCTTCGTGGCCCTACGACGTGTAGACTCGGCTGCAGCGTGCCTCATAGAAGCAGGTCCTAGTAGGTTAGAGCAGAAATTATTCAGAGAAGGTTACGACTCACAAGTTTACTGATTCAAATGCTCTTCTGAGTTCACGTGGCTGGATTCGGCCGAAAACCTCCACGTCCTAAGCAAAGGAATCCGGCATCGCCGCAGTCTATCTTATCACATCGTCCACAATGCCACGAGATTCACGTTGCAGGCTTGGTTTAGGCCAGGTCTACAATACGCCGTGAGGGAACCATCCTTGGCAAAAACTGGTGACACTGAACAGTTCCAACTTAGTCTCGTCTCTGACATCAAAGGCTTAGGTCAGGTAGCAGTATCTTTCTATAGTCCCTATGTCATGGCACAGTATACCTAACATTCGATGTCAAGGCAAAACTCCGATGGGTTCGGGAGCGCTGCAAGTTCTAGAAGCAGCTCTTGGATCTTCGGAGGCTTCGTCTCTGGCGATTGAATCTTAGGCCCTACACCTCACCGCCTAAACCTAAGCTCTAAACCCTGGGAAAAACTCCCAAGACACCTACGGTGGACTGCTTCTCGAGTTGAGAATTGAAGGGGGTGGGGTTTACGGTTTCGCATGTTTAAAAGAGGCCCTGAGCTTTAGACCCTAAGCCAGAAACCCCAAACCCTAACTCCTAGAGGTCCTAGAACCTAACCCTAAACCGATCCTACTAACTCCCAAGAGCCTAATCCTAAACCCTGAAACCCCAAACCCTGAACCCAAAGCCCTAAATCCTGATCCTGTTGTAGTGCAAGCCTAGCCCAATACTCTGATCTCAACACCTCCAACCTACATCGTAATCCTCCCCAAGCCACGGCCAAAGCCAAGGCCAGCATCCCCTGTGGAATCAGGGTGCCGCCCGAACAAAACACAGAAAAGGAACTACTGAGGGACCGAGTATGGAACCCTTGTAGAACGCCTAGAGGACCCTCATCAGCCCCCTAAACCCTCAATCACTTAATATCATAGACTCCTCAACAGCGAATCTCAGAGCTCAGTCACTCACATGTCTGAGACGCCCACTTGTTTCGCTCGTACCACTTGCGGTCCACGATCTTGCCAGCATGACTCTCGTCCTCCGCGGCACTTCTCTACGATTTGGGACTCACGGCTTAAGCTTCATGTTTCGGAACCCTAAACCGTAAACCCTAAACCCTATCGTATGATACAGGTTCCTGTAGCCTCAAAGGCCCCCACCTACGAAAACGCCAAACCCGGCAGCACTGAACCCTCAAGTTACCTTTGGTTAGTAGGGAATGGAGGAATGGTAGGAATAGTAGTCATAAATATACCCCATTCCTCCATTCCCTACTAACCAAAGGTAAGTCAAGCCCTGTGCTTCTCTTTATCGGCAGCCCCAGCCTCTCCAAGGCTCGGAAAGCCCTGTTGTAAGGGCTCCTTAAAGGATTACTATAAAAGCCTTCATAATTAGAATAGGGTTTTGGAGCCAATCATACTATATTTATGATAAGGAATCCCCAAAATAGTATTGGTAGTTATTAAGACCCCTATATTACATGCGTACTACAAGAGCTGGTTGCAGAAAGTCAAGAAGAGGCTTGAGGCAATAAGCCCAAATACCAGCAAACGGCAAGAGTTGAAAGTGCAATGGCCTCAAGCACTCGCAGCTGCTGTCTTTTTGCAGCAACACACAAAAACATGCCATGAGCTGAGCTGTAGGAGCGAACATGTCTATGGATTCGGTGCCTGCACATATGCTTTTGCTACAGACTTCCCTCAGCTTGTAGTAATAGTCATCACAAGTGATGACCCAAGGCATCTTACATCGAAGCCTGGAACCCCCCAGTAGTGCGGTATATCACTAAGGGGCTGCACGACTAGGATCTCTTGCTTAAGAAGCCCTAAACCCTAAACCCTAAACATTAAACCCTAAACCCTACGAACCTAGTGTTTGACACTGGCCATGCTGCAGCGAAACTCCCTTGAACGCGCCTTCTCTATTCGAGAGTCGTTGGACATGCGAATGTCCTGCACAAGATAGACAACCGTCGACAAGACTGCAGTAGTACGGCGGCTTCATGGTTATCGCCATGATGATTGCCACAGCCATGACATGTTGACGAACATAATCATGATTCGTGCTTATCATCGTCAGCACAACCATCGTCATTATCATCATCACGATCATTAACATCAGCAGCAAGAACAACCTCCGCCTCATCACCCGCACAATCCTCTCAGCATAGTAGCTGGATCGTGGTGTGAGGAATCGCAGCAGCGGCAGCAGTCGTTGTCGAAGGAGGCAGAGAAACAAACCGACAAGGAGGAGCAAGCGCAGCTGCAAAAGTTGATTCGGCAGTGCAGAGCTGGTGGTGTTCGTATGTGTAAGCTTTCGGCAAACTAGCTCTTCACTGCCCAGACTAGGTTTCAAGCTTTGGAACACAAAACAAACAATCGAACGCTCCTGTTCTTCGGCAGCAACACGTCCAGGCAACTTAAGAGTTTCCGGGTTTCGATGAATTATAGGGCACAAGGCAGAAGGAAAGCTCAGCCTCGTGGATCAAAGTCATCGCGCGAACGATCGAACACCGGAAGAAGTCTGAAATGCAGCTGCTGCTTAAGAACACACACAGCACATTCTTCGGCTTACGTTGCTTCATCCGTGCATACCGCTGTCTAAAAAGATAGCACACTGCTGGTCAACCCGCGAATTGAGGGCAAAAGCTTCGGCTGTCGGGCTTAGGACTTCGGCTACAACCCCGGCAAAGTCTTGTGTGATGTGTAGGGTTTTTAATTGAGTTAAGGGGATTTAGGGGTTTCGGGTTTAGGGTTTAGGGTTTTTACCTCTACCCCGAAACCCCACAAAGACAAGCCCGAAACTGATAACGATCCTGTGCTGCAACGAAGCCCCGAGCCGGCTTAGCTCTTGAACCGTAGGTCAAAGCACCGATCGTGGGACAGCACTACAACCTTAAGGACGAAATGAACCCTAAAAGGCTTTAAGGTTCATATACCATATGGGGATTCATAGTATATACCACATATGGGTATAGGGCCCCTACTTTTCATCATGGTACTGACAGCACTGCGTTTATTGCTACTCGTCGTGATCGTGCTCTATACTGCTGGTTTGCCAGTGACATTAATACCAGTACTAATACTTATGGAAACTTGCTCATGATGGAAATGCGAGCGCTCGTAATGATCCATATTATAAGGACCCAAATTTTGGTACCCCTAATTTTCGGAAACTCCCACATCGCAAATGCAGGCAAGCGTCGTCGTGCACGTCGAAGTGGAAGAGCGGGCCAGATTTGCCTCGAGCCTTCTCCTGCGAACCCACAGAACCCTAAACAGGCTACGACCTGTGACAGGATGCTTTCGGTGGATGTAATTTCATTATCCAATGTAATTGCTTCAGGTTCTGCGTCTTCTGAGATACACCGAACCGAGACCGTAGTTTATTTGAAGGCCTACGGTAACCTAGTAACTAGTATCCCTTGCCTGGCCTAATTAAAATCACCTCCTATACATACCTGGCACAACTCACCGTCCAGCAGCGTGCAGGAACAACTCGCATGGCTTCAACCCGACGGCGACCTTGATCAGCTCATAGAAGGTTACGTTGTGCGGGATGATCAGGTCCTCTTTGACGTACCTGTCACAAGCAGCATGGTATACGACATTCTACTAATACCGTAACGAACTATAATATACTTAACAAACCACAATGTACTATGTTGTACTATAACTTTGATACACTCTAATATACAAGATAAGCAAACACTAAAATGTACTATAATATACTACTGTATACTACAATATACAAGTCCAATCTCCAAGTCTCACAGCTTCAAGGGTGCTGGTCTTGGCTCTTTATACACGGAATCGCTACGTAAGTCTTCAACGAGCCATAGAAGCCTAAGTGTCTATGACCTGGATGAACATCAGATGGTTGTGCAGGTGGCCGTTCTTCGGCCATACAGGAAGTCATCTATCATGTAGACATCTGTGCTTCTAGGAACCTAGGAATGACCACATGCAAAGCCGTAAGGTTATGTGATACAAATGGCAGTAGATAACACTCGAATTCGGCCCCGTTTCATGCCCTACCATTTGCCAAGTTTCGCAGCCCGTCCGAATCCGGGATGAAGCCCTGAAGCCAACACTGCTCTGAAGCAACCCGGAATTGACAATAAACGTTAAACAAAAAACGATAAGACCCTAAACCCCAAACCCGCCATAGAAAGACTCCCAGCCACCCCCAAAATGTAAGACAAAGCCATGCCGGCGTGCATGAGGGTGTCAGAGCCCACTGTGCGAAGCTCTGGGAAGTCACCTGGCTCCGAGGGTTTATGCGCAAGTTTCGAAGGGTCTTATGCAGCTTCTATAGAGTTTCCAAAGGCTTATGAAGGCTATGAAGTGTCTTACTAACGCAGTTTCTATGGAGTTTATCAGGGTTTATGGCTCTTATGCAGTTTCTATAGAGTTCATAAATGTTTATGCAGGGTTGTATGAGCTTTAGTGTAGATCCTTGGTTTAGAATGAGGGACAGGGGTTTGGAAAGGAGGTATCCCAACATTCAGGCTCTCAACCTAGAGGGGGCTTTGAAATCAAAGGTCTACATACGTCAGCCCGATGACCTTCATCCCTTGGGCTCCCTGTTATCTTAGTCACGGGGCTCGGGGTTTCCTGGGGCTGATAGGGACTTGGCGGCCAGAGCGGGGGGTTTCCGAAAATGGGGGACGCCTAATTTTCGAAACTCGCATATGGAGGAAGATTTGGGGTGGCTTCGGGATTTAATGCCTTAGGTGTGATATAGGGTTGATAAAGCTTTGAGGCTTGTGTTTTCCAAGGTTTGTCTTGTCAACTTTCCTTGAACCTGACCCCGAAGACACTAGAACCTACAGTATAAAATCCAAACCCATAAACCCTAAACCCGAAATCCTAAACCCTAAATCCCCTGAAACACGTCCAAGCAGCTCTTTTCCAGCTCTGCCTTCGCCTTCTGCAGGAAGTTTCCTTCGCCGCAGGGGCTTCGGGGTCAAGTCTTGCCTGCGGTTTTGGTGATATTTCGAACCAAACTACTTAGAGGCCCAGGGGACTTAGTAAGTAGGTTATAAGTAGGGTTATAAGTACCCTAAATGGAGTTACCCCAATTATAACCCTACTTATAACCCACTTACTAAGTCCCCTGGGCCTCCAAGTAAGAAGGCTTAGGGCTAGGGGTTGAGGCTGCTCTTATTTTGGACAAGGGGGGGTTGTAAAGCAGCATTTCATCTCTATAGAAGCTGGGTGCATGAGACAAGGGAAAGATAAGGGAAGTAATTGCAGTTCTATCATTTATCGCCCCGAACAAGGTGCTTCCGACAACCTGTCTCTGCCATGACTCCCACTAAAAGCCTGAACCGACGCAACCACGTCATCCAAAAGCCCTAGGTTCCCGGTAGACCCATCAGAATCAAGGTAGCTGCACACCTCTTGCCGGACTCCGAGCCCAAACTTAGGGGAACACGCTGAAGTAGGGCCTCGGCCTTACATCATTGGCTTCAGGCTCTGGGACAAAAAAACAAGCTACTGAAGCCTAAGCCGGCCGTCTTGGTTACCCAATTTGCTGTTTTGGTTGCTTCAGAATGGTTTGTCGGTGTCCGAAAATGGATTGCTTTACGCGGTCGGTTGTGAACGCCTTCTTGAATCGCAAACTCCGAAAACTACAATAACTACAAACCCCACGGTGGCAAACTCTAAACCCTAATCACTCAGCCCCATAAACCGTACAAAGGCCCTCAACTCTTTGATGACGATGACGATGCCGTTGCCGCTGTTGCTGCTGCTGGTGTGGTTGTGGTTGTGGTTGTGGTCCCCAAGCCCAAAACCCTAAACCGTACTCCCCAAACCCTGCAAAAAAAATCCTAATTCTACACCCCGAGCCCCGCGACTGAGACTTCTACCGATTGTGAAGCCACGCTCGATGACACAGTTCCGGCGATGGCCGGAGCCTTCATATTCAAGCTTCGCGAATACAATGTGGAACCTGATCAAGAAACCCTGGCCCTATAACCCCAATATATTCGGATCCATATTATTAAGAGCCCTAATAAAGGCCCAAGGTTTCTTAATCAGGTTGCTGCATTAGGCCTTAATAATTAGAAGAGGCTACTTTTCAAGGGTTCCTTAAGGGGATCTAGAGTAGGGTTCTACAATACGGGCCTTAAACTTTTACAATGGGGTTTTGGGGGCCCATTACCATAAGGAAACCCCCGAAACAGTACTGGCAATTGTTTAAGCCCCTATATTAGCCTGAGAGCCCCCGTTAATCAAGGAATACACCGCAAAGTACAGGGACTCAATATGATTCTGGTCATTGGGCTTAGGGTTTAGGTGGGTTTCAAGAATGATGAAACTAGGGCTGTGTTTTGGCGTATATATATATATATATATATATGCGACTAACAGCATATCAGGTAGAACGGAATACTGCTCCTAGGTTCAATGATTCAGACACATGTTTTTGCGGTTGCGAAGTATAGGTGCGTGGCTTTTGGCCGAGGGGTCTCGTGATGTTGAGCTTGGGCCTTTTAAGGCTTGTGGAAGAAGACTTTAGTGCTGAGGTTTTCAGGTTCGAGCTCTTTGCGCATGAAGAGGTTGAGGTTTGTGGCTGCGAGATTCCGTCCCGGTCGGTAGAAAACCTTACAAACCTGAAAAACAAGAAATCCTAAACCCTGAACTTAAACCATAAACCCTAAACTCTAAACTTAAACCATAAACCCTAAACCCTGAGAGCAAGAAAACCCCCGTTGAGGGCGGTTGGGGGGGTGAGCCCTAAACCATAATTGAGAATAGTTGGGGTGGTTGGGGCGAGACTACATGCTGATGCAAGCGCGCGAGAAGTGGGTGCACCCTCATCCCTAAAGTAAGAAGGCGCACCCACCGCGTGCACACTGTTTACACACTATAAACCCTAAACCCTAAACCCCCTAAACCCTGAACTTAAATCACAAACCCTAAACCCTAAACACCCTAAGCCCAAAACTTCAACCATAAACCCCTAAACCCTAAACTTAAGCCATAATTCAACCCTAAACCCCTTAAACAATGAACCCTAAACTTAAATCACAAATCCTAAGCACCCTAACCCCTAAACTTAAACCACAATTCAACCCTAAACCCTACACCCCCTAAACCCTAAACCCTGCCAAGCCCTTCTCGAAAACCACCGGAGCCCAGGATACCTGAGCCTCTCAACCCCTGCTGCCAGCAAGCAAAGAAGGTCTTATGTAAGCGGGAGGCTGTCAAAATTATGGTCCCTTTTTTGGGAACCCTAAATATTAGGTGCCGTACTAGAATAACGACCCAAGAAGGGACCATAATTTTGACAACCACCTAAGGGTACTCAACTCTAAGCACTTCTTTATAGTAAGAGTATACTCAACTCTAAGGGCTTCTTTTTGGGTAATATGGGAGTTTCCGAAAATAGGGGTACCTTTCTTTTGGGGAAGATTTTCTGAAACTACCTTCCGTGAGTGGCTATCCTCTGTTGATGCCACCTGTAGCGCGTTAGACACGATCATCGCCAATTTCCAGTGATTGAAACAGCACCTGTCTGTTCTTTCTGTCTCACCTTTGTCGCCTATGACCTTGTGTCCGCCAACCTCATAATAAAGATCCTACTATTTAGGGGGTACTATACTAGGGTCCCCTATTTGCGGAAACTCCCATATATCGGGGCCTAACCTCACGCCAAAAAGCATTCCGTCAACACCACGGACCACTAAGCTTGAAGCAAAACACAATGTCCCAAACCCTCGTGTGTAAGACAGGGGCTTTTTGGAATGAATACCAGTGATGTGCCCCTTCTAGACAAGAAAAGACAGAGCCCTCGGTGCCAGTCCTTAGGAACCCCTTGAAGAAGCTGCCTGAACCCAGCTGCCTAGGCCGAGGCTTTCTTAAAGGACCACTCCTGAACCACACGTCCGAACTTCAAGCCTTGAATCAAAGGGGAAAAGGAGGGACCCTTAGTGGCGACCCCTACCCTATACTGGGCTATATAATGGGTATATAATAGCTGTATTACAAGGGTCCCTCCTTTTCCCCTCTGATTGAAGCATCAACAAAAAGACCGCACTGGGCGCACACCGTGCTACAGAAAGAAGACAAGAAGCCATCCCAGTAGGAGTATGTCACTTCCAGCTTCGTCTTCTTGATCTGCACCGGAGAAAGAAAGGCTTTCGAGAAAGGAGAACAAACTATAGGCATTATAGGCTTTAGCCTCTTGGAGGCTAGGGCTTTTGGTTGCTAGGGGTAGGCTTTCGGAGGTTTGGTTTCGGCTTCGCGCATCGCATAGACTTCCCAAAACCCTACACCTACACCCTAAAGCCTCAAGCAGAGTCGATCCCTGAGGAGAAGACAAGCTTATCGCAATGCCACAGCTTGTTTAGAGCTCTTCTACGATGTTCAAAATCCAAGTTTGACAAAGGTTATATGACATGAAGGGCTCAGACTTGTTCTAAAGGTCCGTTGGAAAGAGAGATAGGAATCCCCACCCAAAAAGGGAACCTCGCTTCGGGCGGAGGGAGCGGATCCCAAAGGCCGAAGCCTCTCACGAAAACGCCACGACACCTCCGGACCGTCAGAAAGCCAGAAACCCAGAAGGAGCCCTCGGCTTCAGCTGTAGATCCCCTAAACCCTGAACTCTAAACCACCAAAAACCCTAAACCCTAATCTCTAAACTCAAAAAACCTAAACCCTAAACTCTGAACCCTAAACCCTAAACCCTAACCCCTATGAGCCCTAAACCTATACCCAGGCCTCTTCTTGCTCCTTCTTGTACTGGACCTTTGGGGAAGCCATGGTTTCGGGGTTTCAGGTTCGGGCTCCGAGCGGACCCATGGGCCCCAAAGTCTCAAGGGCTTAGGGTTTGGGGCTTACGGTTTAGGGTTCAGGGTCAGGGTTTAGGAACATTTAGGGTTTAGGGCTTAGGCTCAGGGTTTCTAGGGCTGAGGGTTCATAGGGCTCAGCGTTTCTAGGGTTTAGGGTTTATAGGGTTTTGGGATTAAGGTTTTACAGGGCTAAGGGCTCATGTTTTTTTTTGAGGGCCTTTTTGCAACTGCACTACTCTCTAGCCGTCGCAACCCATTTAGGCAGGCACATTTGGCCATACTGCTTTCCTCACTCTGGCGTCTGGTAGTCATAACCCTCCGGCATATAGCTGCATCACCCCTTTTTCATACCCTCGAGAGTAGATCCATATCTTCACGTCGTGCCGCCCTGCTCTCGTCGGACTCCTCAACATGTACTTCAGCACGGTCACCGGCATCATCCTCAGGGGCCTCATACTCACTAGCACTTTGTAATGGGGCCACATCCGCAATCTCCGGCATCGGCTGAACCGACATCACAGTGTCATTTCTGTCATCTCGCCCGACATCAGCTGCAGCACTGCCACCTCCATCCCGTGGGTGTTGTTCCCTCACCGTTGAGCTCGAGGCCGAGGTAGAGGCATCTTGCGCCGGACCCCCACGAGCAGCGCAAACTCTTCGTTGTGGGGTACGAGAACGGCTCAGGCACCTTCGTCATTGTCTCCGGGCACAGCTTCCAGAACCAAGCCGTTCTCTTGCCGTATCCGCGAAGATCAGGGCCCACTCATCGTCCACAGGCGTGGCCAACGGGGCGAGACGTTGCTGGACCTCTGCCTCGCTCACAGCACGAAGAACCCCATTGAGGATGCGCTGATTGTCCCTCTCAAATTGAGCATCATCGAAGCCCCAGAACTCAGCCAGCAGCATCCGAATCAGCGTTTTGGCCGCATACCCTCTCTATACCAGGTTGACAGCTTGCTCCACCACATTGTCGTACCACGCAGGACGTTCATGCGGCAGAAACGGTTCGTCAAAGGCCCTGACCCCTGTGCTTGCATCAACCATCAGCCAACCCGACATCCACAGACCAACCTCATCGCTGTCAGGTTCCAGGTCAATGGTCGGAACCTCCCCATCAGCCAGGACAGCACCCTCGTCCCACATGATCTGCACATACGCATCCGAGATACGTCCCTCCCTCCACTTGCGGTACTCCTTCTCATAGTTCTCGAGCAGCGTGTGGGGCACACCACCAGACTCAGGAGGCTTAGGGCACCCAGTTGGCCAGCCGCCCTTCAGCAGCCGGCATCGTCGAGGCCGCAGAGCCTTCCCCAAGGTCCACATCTCCTTCCACATGCACCCCAAACACCTTCTTATAGCATGCCCAAACTCCGGAAAGCACCGTCATAGCATGCCCAAACTCCGGAAAGGGAACCGCCACAACTTGCTCAACTCCAGGTTCACCAGGAATTGGGCCAAGTCGCACCGAAAGCCGCATTCTCTTTCTCGGAGTGCTCGACGGGCGCATAGCCTCAGCCATACACCAATCCTCCCATGCCTGGCAGCGTGAGGCCTCCGCAGCCTGTTCATGGTCGGCAGCCAGGCAGGCGGGCCACCTCAGCAGCCTCCAGAACCTCATTTCCCATCCGTTCTTGTTCCAGCATCACCCTGTCATTGCGGGCCTCCTTCTCATCAGCAGCCAAGGACTCGCCCTCCTCCCTGCCACTGCTGCTCACCTGCACAATGCCTTCAGAATGCAGATGAGACTCATACCCAGGGGCCCTCAAAGCAATTCTGACTCTCTGCCACCACGTTTCAACCCACTCCACCAGGTCGTTGTCCTCAGGAACTGGAGTCCACCCTTCCATATCATCTCGACAAACACAGAACAAGGCCTCGAGCAGATCCAAAAACTCAGACTCCCCATGAAGTCCTCGGAAGGTTCGAACTCGCCCCTGCATTGCAGCAACCCTGCCCAACACATCAAGACCCGCATGCCGAACATGCTCCATGGAGGTCTGCAACTCTTGAAAAACTCGTTCAGGCGACAGGTGGTCTGCTCCAGATACATACTTGTGATGGTCCGCTGCATCATCGAGGCATGATCCCCTTCAGCCGGTTCCACTTCCACCTCAAGGCTATCCTCAGCTGCACAAGTGAGCACCTGCGACAGCTCGGCCATAAGACGTCTGAGCAGGTCCAGCAGCGAAATCGTCATCACCGCAAGGCTCATGGTTTAGGGTTTAGGGTGCGGATCCAGGGGTCTTGAGCCGTGAAAGTGGCACTGCTGGGGTTACGACGCGAGCGCTTTCAACAGTTGGTTGCTGAGATCGCGAGCCCAGAAATGAATACGTTTTCAGGTCTATAGGGCATAATACGATCCCCAAAAGTGAAAGGTGCACTCATTCGGCTATGCAGAAATTCAAAAAACAACCAGGTGCCACCTCAGTCCCCGCTATAGATAGTCAGGATTCCAACGCAAAGACCCCAAGAACTCCACCCAGATGCTCGGCAAAAGCCTGTTAAACAACTAATAGTGCAATCCAGCACCCGGCCCCTAAACTCGAGCCTAAACACTCGCCACTGTGACACCAAGCATCGACCATTATAATCCTCCATATCCCAGGCCCTAGAACCGAAACCCTAATCGCACGACTTTAAAACTTATATGTTCAGGCCAGAACTGCCTCAGGTTCACAGACTGGAGCACACCGCTTGTGAGCCAAAAATCTCGGGGTCACTCGGAACTTCTCGATTTCAGAGCCGTGTCGACAACTCCAGAACTCATCCGCCCACAGCCTTTCGACATGCCGGGTGGCGATATGTCTGACCGCAGGCATTCAAGCCAAGCTTTCATTGCCAGGTGCTCCGGGAGCGTCCTGAACTTCTTCAGAACTGCAAATCTCTTCTCATACTCCAGCTCATTGTAAGCAACACGTCTCGACTAAACTCTAAATTTCATCTGAACACCATCAACCCTAAACTAGCATCCCATTAAGCCCTGCACTATGAACCATAAACCGAAAGCCCTTCACCCTCAAACGCACTGTTTCGTCTCTGGTGCCCCCTAAACCCTGTATACCGTGAGCCTACAACCTTTAAGCTTCAAACCCTTAATTAGAATAGGGTGTTGGGGTAAAGCACAATTTACTTATGTATACATGGGGATACCATAGCTACAATCCTGCAAACCCCAAGCCCTAAACCCCTTAAACCTCAAACCCCCTAATCCTCAAACCCCTGAACCCTAAACCTGTAACCCTCAAGCCCACTTTGTTGTCTTTGGGGCCGGGCAATGAGCTCTTTCTTTTTCCTCAGGAGCTCGGCCTCTCTGTCTGCATCGTACCTCCACAAACGAGGCAAGGTTTCGGGTTGGGGGTTTGAAAACCCTAAACCCTAAACCAACGATGGCTTGCGGCTTAGGTGTTGCTGAACCGACTACAGTATCTATACGTATCTTGTATAAGCACATTCGGGCTACAATCTGTTGTTAGACGCCTAGAGCGTCCATGTATACTACGTACCATTCTGGAATTGGGTCCCAAACGACCATCCCTGTTTTGGTTTTGGGGACCTAATTCCATATCAATGGTATATACGGACCCTCCTGCTTACAATGGACCAGCTTAGGCCGTGTGCTCTACACATGGATCGTGGATCTTCCAGGACATCTGCGAAGCCCAGAGTCTGGAGTGAAGAAATCCTTAGCCGTTTATCCGCTGAAGATCCGATCAACAGAATCAAGAGCAGAACAGTGCCCACTCAGTCAAGTGTGCTGGTGAAAGTTTCAGAAGATGAGCGCTTTACGGTTTAGGGCTTGGGGAACTTCAATGCGAACACAACCCATATTGTTGCTGAACAGCCTTACTATAAGCATGCTCAAAGGCCACCCTAACTCGAATGAACAACAAAACTCCAATCCCAAAACCTACCGTAAAGCCAAATGCAAAAAATCCTAACCTTGAAACCACGGTTTAGGGTTTAAGACCCCACCCCCAAAAAACCCAAACCTGCCAAAATGTAAGGAGCGCACAGGAAGTCCGTCTTGGCAGTAGGATTTTTCCCGAACCTCCGGCAGGCTTCACTGGGCTACGGGTCCAGGCATTCAAATCCTCCCCCAGGAATAAGGTTCTCATCCGGGCTGTATAAGGCGGGTTTCTAACAAAGGGTACAAGATCTGTGTAAAGGCTGTACGCTGGTTTGATCCGGGGTTGTGTAAGGGGCCGTATACTTTAAGGGCTTCATAATGCCATGACAGGAACTGTTTGGGGCACCCGGGCTCTTGAGGATTCGCCGGTGAAAGAGTTTTGTGGAGGTAAGGCTGATGCTTTTGTTGGTGTCCTTGCAAGGTTCAGGGTGGAGTCTAGGCCCGTAAGAATCACAATTGGCTATTTAGGGTGTGCTATACATTATAGCAAAGCTTTATGTATAGAGAATACAAAGGAATACTCTCCTGGTATGTTCAGACGTCTTTCTTGCTCGTGGAGCCAGGATAACTTGCATACGCAGCAGCCTGAGTTGGGTTCATCAACAAAGCATGGACTTGTCAGGGACTGTCGGAAATAAAACTGTAACAACCCTTCAATGACAGCCCCAGAAGTTAGAATTGATTGCAATGGCCCAAGAAACAGCCTTAAAGATAGCACTACAGACAGCCCTGTAACCCTAAACCCTAAATACTAGACCCCTTAACCCTACAACGCCCTGAGCCGTAACGCCCCAAACCTAAGCCATAAAATCCCATTAAAACAACCCTAAGCCCTAAACGGCTAGCTCCATCAACGAAAATGCGCCTCTTCTTCCGAATCTTGATCTCGTCGTCGCTCTCGGAGGCTTCCTTCTCCAGCCAACACCGCAGTTTAGGGGTTTAGGGGTTTCAGGTTTATGAGGGTTCTTGTTCAAGGGTTTAGTTTAAGTTCCCATAATTAAGCAACCATTATAACTATATACTATAGATCCCTATTATGGTAACTAATTTGATCCCGTTAATAAGAACCCACTTTAGGATTTAGGCTTCTTTGGGTTTAGGGTTGGGTTCAGGATCCAGAGTCTTGGGTGTTTAGGATTGAGGGTTTGGGATTGGCGTGAGATGCTTTAGGCTTGTTTCGGGTTTATTAAATAGGGCTTTCAAAGGGTTCAGGTTCTTCTGGGTGTAGGTTCTGTTGAGCTCAGGGCTTTGGGTTTGAGGTCAAGGGTTTTGTGGGGTTTAGAGGCTTCGAGATTAGGGTTGGGTTGGATGTTTTGGGGTCTCGGGGTTCAGGGGCTTGAAGTTTGGGATTGAGGGTTTAACTAATGCTCCTGTGCCTCCCTGCCGTGAACCCGGATTCACTGTATTCCCACCTTACCAAAGTTTATGACATCGCGGGAGATGCGAACAGGTTAAGCTGAATGTTGTTCGAGTCTCCATGAACCTGTCGATGACCGACCATCAGCCCTGGCCCTACACATGCACACTGAACAGTGGGATGCTGGATATAAGTATGTGCCATCGAACCACGAAGCCAGAAAACGCCCAACACTCTTCAAGTCGAAACCCGAACCCCCCCTAAAACAACCATGATTCTAGGAACCCTCACTTCGGGCCCCCATCCGGACCCCTGTGACCCAGTGTCTAGCAGTCCTGCTCCTCTTCATCATCGCTTCCGGCGATATCGTCGGCCTGGCTGTCAGCGGGCAGCGCAGGGCTTGGCTTTGTATGCCATGCTTCGGGGGTTTAGAAGACCTCGGATTTCCAAGGGTTTTGGGTCAGAGGGCTTGGGGGCTTTACCCAAAGGGTCCAAGTATCATCATGGTATATACGTAGACCCCCCAAAATGCCCTACAAGTATATACCAGAGTGATACTTGGACCCCTTGGGTTAGGGCTTCGGTTCAAGGTTTGAGGGGTTGAAGTTCCTGTGGATAAGTGCTACATCGGAGCCTGAGTAGTTCGACCGAGGTGTGGGCACTGGGCCAGCTTTATGCATATTCAAGTATACATTAGAAGGGGCCCCACCCTGTAATAGTGGTATAATAGGAAAACAATAGGGCCCCAATATAATCCTTAAAGTCACTATCCCTTCTATTTCGTCACAGCGTACAATCTACTAGTAGGATGGTATAATTGCGCAGCATGTATGTATGGCTGCACCGTATGCTTTGCACATAACAGTCTGCAGTCTGAAACCCTGCACCTTCGCCCCCTCAGCCTACCCCAAAGATGCAGCAAGGTTCACAAAACAAGAACCTGTAGCCACCAAACACACCCCACCCTCAAAACCGAAACAACGAGAAGAACCCGAAGAAACCCTGCAAAACAACTATAGGGGCCTAAATAAATACCTATACTATTTTGGGGGCTCCTTATTATAACTATAGCATAATGGGCCCCAAAACCCAATCCTAACTGTTCAGGCCCCTATATCCTGAAATAGTACCCTTACAGGATCGCTGATGGGAACTCTTTAAAGGAATTATAGAACCCTACTATATAGATCCCTTGTTGAGCCCGTTAAGGGGAACTATTAGGGCCCCTATACGAGGCTTTGGGTCAAAACTCATGACCAAGTCCCACCTCAAAGGAGAGCTGCGCGGCCTTGACCGTCCGCTTGACCCTCAGGTTCTTCTTCTCCTGGTTTTCCCTAAGACTCCATGTATCCATATAGTAGGTACTTAGGCCTTGAAGGGGTCCCTATATAGGTACTTTAAGGCCGAAGTACCTACTATATGGGTACATGGAGCCTTTGGGTTTGTTTATGGACGTTTTAGAGCTTAGGGTTTGGGGAAGGTTGTCTCAGGTTCTTCATCTCCTGGGTTTTTGCTCATGGACTTTTGGGGCTTAGGGTTTCGGGGGGTTTGTCGGAGTTAAGTTTCAGAGTTGTGAGTTCTTCTTCTCCTGGGGTTTAGGGTTTAGAACAAAGTGGGGGGGGGTTAGGGTTTACGCGGTTTAGGCTTTTATGGTCCTTCTTTTTGTGATACATTTTATCAAGGCTGCTGTATGGGGAGTCATAAGGGTCGAAGAACAATTTAAGGTTCTTCTGGTCCTGGCAGTTGGGCTTCTAGAGCTTATAAATTCTGAATCTGGTCATAGCGATTCGTGGAGTCTGATGGGGGTTTCACAGACTGTTTATGAGTGCACTTTCTCCAGCTGGCTATTTCAGGCTCAGTACCTCACATCCGCAGCCCAAGCACGTAATTTATTTGGGTCCTGCACTCTTCGCCTAAGGGAATCAGAAAAGCTTCACAAGGGTTTTGAAGTGCTCCTCCTCCCGCTGGAACTTTGGAAGGGTTTCAATGGCTGTATTCGGGTTTCTGGAGTTCTGGTGATTTATCTGCAGGTTAGTTGTTCTTCCCCTGCTGACTTCACAGAAACCCGGAAACCCGATACCAGTGGGTCTTGTTCGAGTTGCTGCATGAGTTCTGTACAGATGTTGCAGGGTGCTTCATAAGGTTCAATAAATGGGAGTTTCCGAATATAGGGGACCCTCATATAGCACCCTAAATCGTAGGACCCTTATTACAAGGAACCCAGAAAGAAGGTATCCTTAATTTTCGGAAACTCCCAAATGGGTGTCACAAGAGCTTCGACTTTTTGTTGATTCTTCTTCTCCTGCTCTTCTCCGAAGGCTCGTTGGTTTTCCGACGGGTAATAACGTAAACCCCAAACCCTAAGCCCCTAAAGCAATACAGGATCTGCCTAATTAGAGGCGCCTTGATGGTCTCTTTTTCAGGGATCTGGGACATAAATGGTTTAAAAACGGTTTAGCGGTAAACCGTTCGGCTTTTCTTGGTAAGCGTTTTGTCTTGGGGCTTGTGGAAGCAGGTTGTTCATGGTGTTGTGTGAGGGTTTTGACCAAGTCTCTGAAGGTTTTGCACGGATTTATCGAGGCTAAAGGGGTACTACAGAACTCTGAGAATGGCGAACTCTGGAGTGCGAACTCTTGAGGCCACGATGGCACTTAATGGCACAGTGATCAAGTACCAGTCCTTCTCAGCCTGCTGTGTCTCACGGATCATGTCATCGATGGCTTGCCGCCTTGGAGGTTTGGGGGCGAGGTAGGGCTTAGGCTTGAGGAATGAGGGCGTCATCTGCGACCTCAATTCCTGCAACATCGCAGGTTGTGAAGCTTTATCCCCAGGGCATAGCCCCTGGAAGCGATGAGCAACTGGAGCCATGGCCCGGGCTCAACCACACATAAACCTGACACGCCCCTAGCAATATGGCATATGATAGTAACTTATAGCAAGTTCCAAGATATCCTACTATGTTGTGGCTTGTGGCATATTCAACTAAATTGCAACCCACGACACCGCACAGCAGCCCTCGACACGGGAAGCCCCCGAATGAAACCGGCCGTAAACCCGAAACCCGCAACCCAAGTTTCAAAACCCAAGCCTGTGAAATTGATCCACCCTGCACACTGGGAAGTACTCATGTCCGGGTATAGTCATCATAGTGCCTTTAATGGCATCGTATATATATATATATATGTATATAGATATGTTTGTGTGCACAATTCTTCGTTTATTGTTCTGTTATACCCTACAGACCCCAGGAATGGTCCCATGTCGGTCCTATGAAGTCTCCGAAACTCTAAACCGTCAACCCTGAACCCTCAACTCCAAACTCTCAATCCTAGTCTCCTCAACCCTAAACTCCTAAACCCTCAATCCTTAACCCCTCAACCCTAAACTCGAAACCCTCGAAACCTTCAACCTTCGAAACCTTCAACCCTCGAAACCCTCAATAATAGAGGCGAGCGCTTGGCTTTGAAGTCTGCCGCCGAGACAAGTCCGACCTCAGCGAAGGGATGGGCTTTAGGGTTCAGGGTTTTTAGCGTTTAGGATTTAAGTTTTCGGGTGCACGGTTTAGGGTTTGGGGTTCCGGGTTCAGGGAAGTTGCTTATTCTAATTTTGTGTGGTTTCTTCTTGTGCTTTATTCGTGCTTTGTATGTTGCAGGGGTGATTTGCAAAGGTCTTTGCAGGAGTTTTTAGCCTTGGGGACAGAGGTCTTTCGGGTAGTTTGTTGTCAGTGGGCTCTTTTTTCCCTCCGTCCAGCAGCAAGGAAGCCAATGGTTTCAAGGCTTCGCGGTTTTTGCAGTTTAGATGGGTAGTTGTTAAAAATTAGGGTCCCTTTTTGGGTCCTTATAATACGGCACCTAATATTTAGGGTACCCAAAAAAGGGACCACAATTTTGATAACCACGCAGATATCTTTTAGGTACAAGGCTCAAGTGGCTCAAGGTTGAAGGGAAGCTTCGGGGGCTTCATGGGTGATTTGCTACTCGTTTCCGAAGCTTTGCACAGGGGTCGAGTCCGGGGTCAGGACTTCGGGGTGTTACGGGCTTACGGGTCCTTTGGGGCCTTAGGCGCAGAACCCTAGACCCTATGCTATAAACATCTGTAAACCCTGGGCAAGGAAGCTCAAGTCTCTTCATTTCAGAAAGGTTCTGTCGGTACTGTGCTACGCGACCCCGGTCAGGGATTCAAGCACTTAAGGGCTTAGGAGACGTGCTTTTAGGCTTCAGGGTCCTGTGCGGTCTTGGGGTCGTCTGAGGTTGCGATCTGATGCTTAAGTTTTGGAGTTTAGAACTCTTCACTTCAGAAGCTCGCTTTTCTTGAAGGGCTATATGTTCCAGAGATTAAGGCTGTGGTGCTCCAGCTGATAGGGGTTTCAGGATTGCAAAGCGTTTTGAGCCAGTAGTGATTTACTTGTCTTGTGGGCTTGTTGCACGCCAACGCTCCGGTTTGGTCGAAGCTGCAGAGTATTCCGGATGTGTGTTACCTTGAGGACGGACTGAACCCTAAAAGGGATTAAGGTTCATATACCATATATGGATTCATAGTATATGGGTCTAGGGCCCCTACTTTCACGGGTCATTCGGTCCTTATATTGGCTGGGTATCAACCCCGCTCGGGGATGGCCTTCTCATCGAGGCATCTGATTCCGTGCAGAAACACTGCACGTCGCTATCATACACATGCAAAGCTCCCTGTAGGCCCTCAACCTGAACCAGCCGGATCTCGGACAACCTCATAACCCCTCAACCCAACCAAAGCACCTTAACCTGACTTGAGCCCCTAGCCCCTGCACCGTGAACCCCAAAGCCAGGGTAAGGGGAGGGAAGGGCTCAGTGCCGAAAGTCGGGAAGGCAGAAAGTTGTTCATCATCTGCCTTAAGAATGATTAGATTAGATGATGTCTGGGTCGTTCTTTAAATTAGGGTCCTGTTTATAACGGTGCCGTACTATTTTGGAGACCTAAAAGGGGCGGCCCTAATTTAGAGAACTGCCCATCAACTGCCTTGAGAATGGTTCGCTATTCTCTGCAGAATGTGACTCACCATAACTATGCAACTTCGACGGCGTCTGCGACTAATCCACCAAAAAGGAGCCCGGCGGGGAAGAATTGCGGGCATCTTAGCACTGAGCTTCAGAACTATTTTCATTCGAGGCACGAAGCGAAATCCTACATGTCACCGAAACGGAACCTCCCAACCAGATTCTGCTTGTCTGCAGCTGTAAATGAATTTAGACCCTACACTGGAGAAGGTTTTGAAGGTTTGAGGTGCGGTAACCCGAAACCGTACACGTTCAATCAGAAAGTGTCCTGGTCTCTGGGCACCTTGCCGTTTGTCTTTTGAACTCTTCCTCCAGATCTTCCGCCAAGCTTGCCGAGGAGTACTTGTCGGCGATGTTGGCGATCTGCCTCGTTTCTGGTGTGGCAGCTACTGTCGTTTCGGCAAGCCTTATAGCCTAAATCCGATCAACCCCGAAGCCCCGAACCCCAAAAGTTGAGGTGTTTCGATATTATGGAACGCTACCAAAACTCCTGACACCCGCAACTCCTGAATCCTGAAACCTGCGACATGGATCACTTGATCGAATCCCTGGTCCCTCAACCTCCCATGAGGTCTGAATGAATAATATGTACATATACATGTGTATGTATACATATATATATGTATAACGAGACATAGAGAGAGTATCCCTTCTAGCTGAGGTTTAGGGTTATTTTACGGTTTCCCGTGCATACAGCGTACCCCCAAAACCCTGTTCAGAGTACTCAGGCTCCCTGTATCAAGTTCAGGCCAAGAGTCTTCCTCTTCTTGGTCTCGTTCTCGATGTTGTTCTGCGAAGGACGGTCTTAAGGTTTAGGGCATGGGGTTTACAGAATTTTGGGCTTTCAGGATCAGTTCAGCTTAGGCTTCGAGGTGGTTACCGGCGACTCTTGCTATACAGAGGGTTCATGGGCATTGCTGCGCAGGGCGGGAAGTTCATCTGGCGAGCGATGACTGATCAAGTGAAAGCTCATGTGAGAGCCATCTTTTGTATGATTTGCTGCTTGGTATGATCCTCCGGAACCCAAACCTCACTGGCCCAAAAGTCAAGGAAATAAAAATTGAAACTTTCAGAATCGACCACCTTATAAGAAACCCAGAAGTTTTAAAGTTGAGTACAGCCAATAAGAAACACCATCCCTCAAGCCTACGAAGCCCACGAGTTGAATGGATGAACGACTCGGTGCTGAATGTGGGCTGTATTCACATCAAACTTCCACCGAGACCTTGGACGTGCAAAGGCCGCGAGGTTACCATAGTCGCTTTAATAGTCGGAATCGGATCCTGGGGTAGTCTATATTCGAGTGCGTGTAGTATCATATTAATTCAAGAACCTTCAGGAATGATATTGGTGAAGTCAAACCCGAAACCCCAATCCCTAAACTCAAGCCTCTATCTATTGCCCTGCCTTCTCCGCTTCAGCTGCGGCTCGGGTCTCTTCGCGCCTGCATCACTCCAGGCACGCCAGACTTTAATTTTTGTGCCTTTGAGGATGCTTCGGGGTTTCGTGGTTTCGGGGACTTTAGGTTTGAAGGGCTTACTAGGATTTAGGGTGTCCCCAGAAAGTTGGAACATGGATTTAGGCTGAGTGGTGTGGAATCCACAAAAATTTACCCCGAAGGCATGAGGCTAACGTCCCAGCTTTCTGGCTTCTACCTAGGGTTTCGGGAATTTATTCGAGACTTTAGGTTTGAAGGGCTTGTTAGGATTTAGGGCTTAGGTTCTAGGGTTTAGGCTTCGCGTTGTAGGGCTAGCGAGTTCGGAGGATGTGCCTTGGCTGGCGCCGATCTGTTCGACTGGAAAAAATCTTTGCGGCGATGTTGAAGATTGCGACTACACGGCAAAGAGGCGTAAGGCGTTAAGGTTGAGGTTTAAGATTTAGGGTCCAGGGCTGTTGGGTACAGGAGTTTGGGATTTATGGTTCAAGCCCTGCCCGCCCATCTTGAGACCGGAAGTGGCCCTACCCTTGAACCACACCCTCTCCCAATCCCAACACCCCTAAACCCTTAAACCCGAAACCCTGCAAACCTGAACCCCTGAAGCCCTAAACCCTGAAAATCTGAAACCCTGAAGCCCTAAACCCTGAAACCCTGAAACCCTGAACCCGGAAACCCTAAACCCCTAGAAAGCCTAAACCCTACAAACCTGTGAACCCTCGAAGCCTCCCGAGTCCCAAAGCGCACATTTGCAAAAAGTCTAAAACTGGCGGAGTCCAAACCACGACTCACTCAAGAGCTTACGGGGAGGGCGTGCGGCGTGGGGCTTAGGGGTGAGAGCTGGCTGCCCGGGGGCCTGCGTTTTACAGTTATGCACTGCATCTTAACCCTCAAGAACCTACCTTTTTAAGGTTCCTTATTCTGATTTCCTTATACAAGTCCTAAACCCTAAACCCCTAAACCTTAAACCCTTAGAAAGGTAGGTTATTCCGGGTTAAGGTACCTCAACCCGGGGAGTGCAGAGTAGGACCAGGAGATCTATCCTTTCGCATGGCCTTGTTGCGCGGCTTGCAGAAGTACAGGAGCTCAGGGTCTGGGGACCGATTGTACTATAATTATGATACGGAACCACCAAAATATCTAAGCCTGTACAATAGTATGATAAGGAACCCCCCCAAAATAGTATTAGTGCTTATTTAGGCCCCTATATGATAAGGGATCTGGTGTGGATTGCATGGACAGGAGGCACTATGTCCGTGGGCGTGGAAGAAATCAACCGACCAATACTTGATCTGCTTGAAATTTGCTTGTGACTTGGCACGAAGCAGAAACGAGCACATGCGATCAATGTTGACCGCGCTCATGTTCTGGAATACACTTCGGCAGGATACAAACGAGGCAATCGTCCCAGGTTCCCTGAGGGACACGGCGAAGAAGCGCTGCATACCCGGATGACCAGCCATGAACCATCTGCACCCAGACAACTTGTCTTTCCGTTTGCACAGGAGGTGTATAGGGTTTAAGGAGCCTCGATGCCAGAAACCCGTACAGGAACCCTTCAAGCGCACCGAGAGTTAAGGAACCTGTGCACATTGAAACGAACCCTTTAGGACAACCTAAAGGAACAGAAGGATCCGTTTATGGAACCCTCTGAGAATGGATTGAATAGATCCCCCATAGACCCTAAACCCATGTCGGCGGCACACGGGCTTAGGGTGTGGGGTTTCGGGGCGTTGTATTTTAGTAACACATATTTAAAGCTGAGGGTTTAAACCTGAAACCCCTACCTTTAACCTCCGAGCCCCTAAACCCCCTAGACCCCAAACCTCTAAAACCCCCTAGACCCCTAATCCCTGAACCCATATAAACCGTAAACCCCAAAACCATAGACTCCTAAACCGCTAAACCCTGCGGGTTTCACCCAAGTCTTGTTCCCAGGCATCTGGAACTCCGACTTCTGGCAGTGTGGATGCGCAGGCCGGTAGTCGTAGAGCCTTCGTGCCTCTCGTGTTACGGCCATAAGCACGGACGATAACCTTGTGATCACTCGTGCTAGAGCTTATCGCGGCTACCAATCCAGCTACCCGCTCGCATGGTAGCGGAGCCTTCTCTTTCGAGAGGAGGTTCCTGAGACGATCCAGGGAACAGCTTTGTGGCTCAGTCCGAGGGTGAGGACTGAGAAAGATGAGCGGGGAAAGTGAAAAGGATGCTGCGTTGAGCCGCACGAAGGATGGCGTCCCGGTGTGGAACGGAGAAGCGGGGAGCTTCTCAGCATATGAGGAAGCAGCAATGCTTTGGGAATCTGGCATTGAGTACCGGAAGCGCTACACCGCAGCCCCTCGGCTGATGGCGGAATTGACTGGAGCAGCCAAGCGACTTGTCGCGGGAAAACCCGCAGAGGAAGTGGCGTGTGCAGGAGGTGTCCGCCAGGTTCTTGACTACTTGCGGAAGTCGCTGGGGAAGCCGAAGGTCAACGAAGTCACCGACCTCCTCGGGAAGTACTTCAAAGGGACCCGTCGCAGGACGGGTGAATCGATGAATGATTACGTGACGCGGAAAAGTGAAGCCTTTCTTCGGGTTAGCCAGGCCCTCCGACGAGTGCAGCCACACTACAGGAAGGCCAAGATGGAAACTTCCGGCGGGAACAACTACATGACTCCTTACCGATGGAGCCGCCGATCGAGTGACGCCAGTGGCTTTTGGGGATCTGGAGGCTGGGGCCGCCAGACTACCACCCCGGAGGAGGGTGACGATCACACCGGAGAAGGCCGCGCTGATGATGAAGTACCTGAGGAAGAAGAGTCCGGGACTACGACATCGTGGGGTTGGGGTTCTACCTACGGAAGTTCCTGGGGTTCTCAGTGGCAGGGCCCTGACTGGTATGGTTCCTCATGGTATCAAGGAACATGGCCCTCTTACGGATGGTCCTCGACGAGCGCCTCCGAGGGCACCTCCACATGGGAATCCCTCGACCAGTTGGAGGACAACTCCTTGCTTCCGGGGTTCATCCAGGGATGGTACCTCTTGATGGACGCGGCGCTCGACAGCAACGAGCGCAACCTGGTGATGACTGCGCTGAGGGGCGATTTCTCCCCGGCGCGTGTGGCACAGGAGCTACGAAACCAGTTTCCTGAAGGTGCCTCTAAGACCAGGTTAGGCTATTTTGGGACATATATCCTATTTGGCAAAATAGTTTATTTTACCTCGAAATATACTATTTTAAATAGACTATTTCGCTCTTGTTTCATAGTCTATTTTTGCATGATTTTTACCAAAATGGCGGTCCAGTTTCGGTCCGGTTTCGGTCCGGTTTCATGAAAACTGGACTCCGGTGGTCCGGTTTGAGTCCGGTTTCTATGAAACCGGACCACCGGGGTCCAGTTTCTAGGCTCTATTCAATAGTAGGATATAGGCTATTTCAGATATAACCTACAAAATAACCTATAGAATAACCTAAAGAATAACCTATAGTTTATTTATATAAATAACCTATATAGGTTATTTTTGCCAAATAGGATATATGTCCCAAAATAGCCTAACCTGGTCTTAGAGGTGAGCTTCGAAAGCGGGACACCAGTCGCCGCTCACATGCTTTCGTCAGTCTTGCCGAGGAGGAGCCGAACTATGATGAAGACTATGAGTGGGGTGACGAAGCCTACGGAGGTTGGGATGACTGCCCAGAAGAGGCGGCCTTGATCGTGGAGGCGGAGTCGGAGGCCCAGGAGGCCTTTGCTGCGTACCAACAGGCACGCCGCACCCTCAAGGACGCGAGGATGAGGCAGCATTCCAACAAGATGAATCGGCAATACTACAGAGGATCCTCTTCGGCCTCCTCCGGAACCTCCCGACCCTCTTCGACGTTTGGGCAACGAGCTTCGGGAGATGAACATATGGAGTGCCTACGCTGTGGGCGCAAGGGCCACCGCGCGGCTAACTGCCCCGAGAAGCCCCTGGCAGCTCAGGCCACGGCGGAACCTACTTCGACCACAGCTACGGAACAGGTCTCCTTTGTGTTCTTCGCGGAGTCCGAGCAGCCCAGCGAGAGCGCCTTGGCAGCGCTTCCCACGACGGCCCAAGCCGTCGATGCCGGAATGGCTGTGGTGGACGGAGGCGCCACGAAGACGATCGGCAGTGTGGCGGCGATCGAAGCATTGCTAAAGAAGAATGTGCAGAAGTACGGCGAGACTCGCCTGCGAGCATTGGATACAGAGGACCAGCCGGTGTTTGGATTTGGCAATTCGACAGAAAATCGTTGCCTGAGCACCTGTCAAGTGGGTGTCACGGCGAGTGGACTTCCCGGCAGCATGCAAATCCATTCATTGGAATCCGGAAATGGTCCGATTCTCCTGAGTGTGGATGCGCTCAGGTCCCTGGGAGCTGTGGTGGACTTTGAACACGACCTGATGGTGCTGACTAAGTTGGACCGGACCAAGATCATTCCCCTCCACCGCTCCGCGACGGGACATCAGCTTCTTTCCCTCACGGAGGACTTGTTCAGCAATGCTCTCGTTTCGGCGATCCCCGTACCTGACTTGAAGCACTACGTTTCACATTAGGGACAACTCCTCCCCCAATCTTTGCCTGAGGAAAAAGGGGAGGTACAGCAGAGTAGATCAGGCCAGGGTAGAAGTGAGACTTCAAGACAACTGTGTGAGTATCAGTGTCATAGTTCTTTTTCCACACTTGAAGCTGCGTGCGAGCCTACAGTCGATGTGGAGTCTGACTTGCAAGGGTTGCTGCCGGAGCACACCTCTCGCGTACCTGCACATGCCGGACCTGATTGCAGCATTCCCGGCTCAGGTGCTCTTGTTTGTACGGCCCAGCGTGTACCTCCCGAGGCACATCATGGACCGTTTGACTCGCGACGAGCTGACCTTGCATCTTCGCTCTTTGGGCGAGACGGCTCCAGAGGGGTGGACTCGAATGGAGATCCGCCAGCGCATCACGGAGATTGCGGAGGCGAACCCTTCGCTGGCAGCAACACCGTCTTCCAAGACGGACCTCGAGGCTATGATGGTGAAGCTCAACCGTGTGAGCCGAAAGAAAAGCGAGCTCCAGAAGTTCTGTCTGGACGAGCTTCGCATCAAGTACAACGACAACGACACCATCGCCCAACTCCAGAAGAAGGCGACGGCGGTGATCCTCGACATCACGGAGCCGCAAGCGGGCGACTTTCTGGGGTTTGGGAAGTACTCCGACAAGACGTATTCGGAAGTGTACCATCTCGACAGCCAGTATTGCCAATGGGTCAGCACGACAGCGCGCGAGGGCGACTGTTGCGCCCGCCTGGCCCGCTTCGACAAGTGGCTGTTGAAGACTCGGCAAGCGGATGCTCCGGCGGTCCCGTTGGTGCACCGCCCCAAAGCCAAGAGCGGAAAGAATGTTCCGAAGATCTCCACCCCCGAGGACATCGGCGGGTACACTTCTGTGGCGACTACGTCGGCACAGGGAAGCACGCCTCTTGCTGCCGATCCACGGGATGCTCTCATGTTGCAGATGGCCGACACCCTCAAGAATCTCCAAGAGGAGGTGTCGCAGATGCGTGCCGAGCGACCTCGCAAAGTGACCTCGGCCCCGAAGGAGTGAAGAACATGGGAGCTCCAGACGAAGACGAACCAGATGCTGGCGATGGAGGTCAGTGTCAGATGTCTTCGGTGGCGGCCGCAGCCCTAGAATATAGAGCAAACCGCGTGTTGCCTCAAGCATTTCATGAGTTGGTTGGCCAGGACCGGCCTCTCTTGATGGAAGTAGCATGTTCGTCTGATAGTGTTTTGTGTCGGACAGTGAGAGAAAAGACCGGAGAAGAACAGTCTGCGATGAGGTGTTCCATTTGGAATGGGGCTGATTTGACACAGGCCGCAGGGCTGCAGCTCGCGCTGGAGCAGATCCGTGGTCTGAATCCGAAAAATGTGTGGATTTCACCGCCAGGAGAGCCCTACTCCCCCATGCAGCATGCCAACCAACGCACACCCCAGCAACAGAGAGAGCTGAGAGAGAAGCGAGAGGAGGCGATCAAGATTTATCATGCGGCCAGAGAGATCATGAGGGCTTGCGTGCACATGGGTATTCACTGCACCATTGAACTGAACGAACGGTGTGAAGCTTGGCGATTACCTGTCTTCCAGGAGCTGCAATATGAGATGAACTTGCATGTTTCAGTGGTGAAGGGCTGTAGCGTTGGTTTGAAGGACTCGCGAGGCCAATTGATTCAGAAGGGATGGCGCTTGGTAACTACACATGCCCGTCTTGCGACCATGATGAAGAAACCTTGTCGGTGCCCGACCTCGTACCAACATGGAAAGTGTGAAGGCGCGATTGCGAGGAATTTGGATCGTTACACGCCGGAGTTTGCTCGTCTCGTGTGCCAGGCTTTGCAGGAAGAGTTTAGCTTCTACGGTGTTGTGCAAGAGTGTCAGGGAAATAACAGTGTTTCGGAGGATTTCGGACGAGGTGAGGTGTGTGCTTGTGGGGATGCGTTCCTGGGTAAGCATGAGATGCAGTGCGGTAACTGTTTGTTGAATAGAGATGCGGTTCCTTTCTTCAACAGTGCCCCCGTGAGTAATCTAGGAACGTCGGACGTTGTCCTCGAAGCCCATCTTACCCAAGCTCAAGAAAAGCCTAGTGAACTGGCGGCCCGTCAACTCCGAAAACACGACAACATTTCCTACAAGCAGATGGAAGCATACTTGCAGGAGCATGCTAGTTGTGGTAGAGTTTCACGAAGAGACATGATACAACGTGGACAGGGAACCTACTACACCTATGGTACGTATGCTTATGGAAGTCACTACGGTCTGACCTTGCGAACCCAACAACGTCCTGAGTTTGTTCGTATGATCAATCGTTTTATTCAACAACACTTTCCCAAAGACTTTAAGTGGTCCGCCTTCGCGCTGAACATCAATTCAGCGGCCCCGATGCACAAGGACATCAACAACCACCCGAATTACCCAAACTGCAGTGTTGGATTGGGAGACTATACGGGCGGAGAATTGTGGGTTGAGGGCGAGGATTCCGGGAAAGGTCTGGTTGAGGTGAGGTGTCGTGATACTGGTGAACAGTTGCAAGGTGTGCGGATGGATTTCAGACATTGTCCGTTCCTTTTTCCTCCGCATAGGTGGCACCAGACTTGTGACTGGCAAGGTCAGAGATGGGTTCTTACGGCGTATGTCAGTAGAGGGATGCAGGAGCTTTCGGAAGAGGATTGGGGTCGATTGAAGGATTTGGGCTTTCCTGTTTCGACCTTCAAGAAGGAAGTGTGTGCTAGTGTTTTTCCAGGTTCGACTCAGCAGGAAGCGATGGCAGCTCAACCCGAATCCAGTAGCTCTTCTCGTGAGACTCTTACCCCGAAGCAACGAGACGAACGGATTAGGAAGCAGTTGTATTTGTTACACTGTGCGTCGGGTCATTGTAGCATGCACCATCTCGTCGATGCCCTGAAACGAAGGAGGGCACCCGAAAGAACCATCGAGCTCGCCAAGGAGTTCTCATGTCCTGTTTGTCAAGAACGAAGTAAGCCCCCTCCGAGAGCCCAAGCCACGTTGGAACCTTTGCCCCCAAAGTTCTGTACGATCAGTGCGGATGTCGGTCACTGGGAACACCCTCACAATAAAGAACCAGTGCAGTTCATGTTGATCATTGATGAGGGCTCAAGATACCGAGTGGCGCGAGTTTTATCCCGAGGCTCGAAACAGCAACCCACGGCCAATGCTTGCATTCAGTACCTACAGGAAGGATGGCACCAGTACTTTGGCCACCCTCGAGCCCTCCGAGTTGACGCAGCTGGTGCGTTCAGGAGCTTTGCTTTGATTGATCAGTACTGTGATAAGCATGGCGTGTATCTAGACATCATTCCGGGAGAAGCCCATTGGAAGAATGGGGTCTGTGAGCAGGCAATCCAGGGAGTGAAAGAAGTGATGACACGACTCTGCCAATACGACGCAGAACTGACGACGGAAGCGGCCCTTGCAGAAGCCGTGAGGGTGTTCAATCATCGAGACATGATTCGTGGATTCTCGCCGGCCCAACATGTTATTGGGCGCGGGACCGACGATACCGATCGCTTTGTGGAGGCTGGCGAAGGCCTCCCACCGGGGCTTCTGGTGGAGCATCCAACGGGCGAGTTTGCGCGAGCCGCTCAGCGCCGAGCTGAGGCCGAGAAACTACACGCTGACTGGAACGCCAATCAGAGGATCAAGCGGGCTCAGAATTCCAGGCATAGACCATGCTACAACTATCTACCGGGGGAGCTGGTGTTCTTCTGGAGAAGTCAAGAGTCGGGGCGTGGCCGCCGACAACCTGGAACTCGCCAAGGAAGGTTTTTAGGACCCGCTCGTATACTGGCTACTGAAACGAGGAAATCTACGAATGGCGAGCTCGCTCCTGGAGGGGCGGTGTGGCTTGTGCGAGGTAGGGCTTTGATTAAGTGTGCACTCCGTCGAGCGACAGAGCGTGAGGAGATTCTGGAAGGTTTGTCAGCCCAGAATGGCCAAGCGACACCATGGACCTTCACCCAAGTGGCCTCGTCCATTGGCGGGAATCAGTTCCAGGATGCAACGAGTGACGTTCCCAACCTGGAAGAGTGGCGAGCGGCCCAGGATCCTACAGAGGCCGCGCAGCCGTCGCGCTTGAGAGTGCGAGGCAAACGTTCCGCCCAGCAACTGGCCGACACCGACCAGGTGGGAGACCTACAGATGGACGCCGATGAGAACGAGGAGGCGCCGATCCGACGCCCCCGACAAGATGGCTCGAGTCTACAAGCAGAGGCTCGAGGTGAGTGTTGGTGGACCACTGTTCCAGAGGATGCCTGGCCGACCCAGGAGAACGATCTCTGGAAAGATCCCTTGACCGCGGTGCAAGTGGAGGTCCCCCTTCCCGATACGAATCGGGGTGTCCAGAAGCTGGTTCGGAACTTCGAAGGTTATTTTGTGGGCCACATGAAGCGAAAGGCAGTTGAGGTGTCCGAGCGGCGCTTGACTCCAGCAGAGCTACAGGAATTCCGAGCGGCAAAGCAAGTGGAAGTAAAGAATTTTCTGTCTGCAGATGCATTTCAAGCCCTGCCAGCACACCTGCAACCTTCCAAAGAACAAGCAGTCGGGATGAGATGGGTGCTTACGTGGAAACTGAAGGATGATGGTACGAGAAAAGCAAAAGCTCGAGCTGTATTGCTCGGGTACCAAGACCCGTGCTATGAGCATCGAAGTACCACGGCACCTGTTATGACTCGACAGTCAAGACAGATGTTGCTACAAGTAGCAGCGTGGAAGCGCTGGCGAATCCGAAAAGGAGATGTCAGCGGCGCCTTTCTTCAGGGGCGTGAATACCCCGACACCTTGTATTGTGTGCCGACTCCTGAGATCTGTGAGGCCATGGGAATTTCGGAAAACAGCGTGACACGCATCAAGCGAGCCTGCTACGGTCTAGTGGATGCGCCCTTGGAGTGGTACCGTACTGTCGATACCTTTCTCCGTAGCATCGGACTTGAACGATCCAGTTCTGACTCTTGTGTGTGGTGTTACCGCCGTGACGGAATCCTCAAGGGACTGATTTCAGGGCATGTCGATGATTTCATTTTTGGTGGTGATGAAGATGATGCAGGGTGGCGAGATGTCCTTGATCAAATCCAGAAACAATTCAAGTGGGGAGACTGGGAGGTGGATAAATTCACTCAGTGTGGTGTCCTCATTGAAACTACTGAACGAGGGTTCGAACTCTCCCAGCCCTCTTACCTGGAAGGACTAAGTGAGATCTCCGTGAATGCTACACGTCGAAAGGACAGATCAGCTGGAACGACAGACAGAGAGCGCACCCTCCTGAGAGCACTCTTGGGAGGATTGAGTTGGCATGCGCAACAAGTGGCGCCACACCTGAGCGCCGACGTAAGTCTGCTTCTTTCCGAGGTGGGACGCAGCACCGTCGACACTATCATCCGAGCAAACATGCTCCTGTCGCATACTAAGGCGAGAAAGGAGCACAAGCTGATCATCCACAAGCATGCTCCCGATGCAGAGCTGGTTCTTGTGGCCTGGGTCGACGCCGCAGCTCAAAGTCGAGTGGATGGTGGCAGCACTCAGGGAATCGTCATAGGCATCGCACCACAACAACTCTTACAGGGTGAAGTGTGTGACATCTCGCTTATGTCGTGGCACTCCTCAAAGATTGATCGATGTTGCCGTAGCCCAGGTGCTTCAGAAGCTTTGGCGGCGATCAACGGTGAGGATAACTTGTACTACGCCCGCTACCAATGGTCTGAGCTTCTCTATGGCAACCAAGATATTCGTAAACCTGACATTACGGTTACCAGAACTCCGGGATGTTTAGTGACGGATAGTAGGAATGTGTACGATAAGATGTCTCAGGAAGTGATTGTGGTGAAAGGTGCAGAAAAGCGTACGAGTATCGAGCTTCTCGGCCTGAAGGAAGCCCAGCGCCGGACGAATGTCATCATACGATGGGTGCACTCGGAAGCTCAACTAGCCAATAGCCTAACCAAGGCGAACGGGCTCAAGGAGTTGGAGATGTTCTACCGGATGTCTCAAAAGTGGCGAATCGTCGAAGACGAGAATATGATGTCTGCTCGTCGTCGTCGTGAGTTGGGACTACGGCCGCTTTCGCAGTCTGAGGGTGTGGAAAATTCTTTAATGGATGAGAAGCCTTCTTGAAGTCTCAATTCGTGTTTTTCGTCAATGTCTGGGCGGGGAGGCCCGGGCATGCGGGTTTCACCCAAGTCTTGTTCCCAGGCATCTGGAACTCCGACTTCTGGCAGTGTGGAGGATCAAACAAAGGCGCGTCCCTTGCGCAGGCCGGTAGTCGTAGAGCCTTCGTGCCTCTCGTGTTACGGCCATAAGCACGGACGATAACCTTGTGATCACTCGTGCTAGAGCTTATCGCGGCTACCAATCCAGCTACCCGCTCGCAAACCCTAGACCTTTAACACATAACCTAAATCCCTGAACCCCTATTACAGTATACCCTTACCCCATTATTATAAACCCCTTTGAGGAATCCGTATAGATCCCTTTAAAGGAACCCTTGAAGTCAGCCTCTTTAGCAGCTTGTAGGCTCGACCGCCTTCCGAGGTCGCCACCATCTGCAGTCAGGCAGAGGATTGCGGGTTCTTTTTGGGGGGTTTAGGGTTTTAGGGTTTAGGGTTTTAGGGTTTAGGGTTTTAGGGTTTGGGGTTTAGGGTTTTGGGTTTAGGGTATAGTAGTTATAGGCCGAAACCCTAAAGCCTATAGCTACTATAGAACCCCTATAAAGCCTATATTATAGGGTTCTTTAGGGTCTATACCTAGGATTTACGGTTCAGGGTTTAGGGTTTGGGGTCTAGGGTTTAGGGCTTAGCAGCTTAGGGTGAAGATGCCTTTAGGATAAGAGTAGGGTTTACCTGGAACCTAAGGAACCTACCTTTTCGGGGTTCCCTAAAATGATTTCTTTATATAAGTCTTTAAAAAGGTAGGTTACTTGGGGTTAAGGTAATATTATAGGCCGAAACCCTAAAGCCTATCCCCAAGGGCCCAATACCAAATAATCATATATTCTCCGAAATCCTAACTTACATAACTACTATCCTAAAGCCGAGTACCTAATTGGACGCGTAGGGTATAGCTACTATAGAACCCTAACGCCTACATGATAGGCTTTTAGGGTTCTACAGTATAGTTATAGGGTTTGTTATCTAGGGTTATCTGCCGTGACGCGGAGCGGGACTTAGAGGATCTTTAGGGTTCTATGTTGTAAGAGGGATACTATAAAGGCTTTAAAGGGAGCATGTCGGATGGTACCATATTCTGATCAAGCGGCATGTGCCATCATACTATTTCCAGAAGCAGTTATTTTAAGGATGGGACTGCCGAGGGTTCGTTGTGGGCGTTGGAATTTCGGGTTTTCGTGTTTAGATCTACGGGGGGCTGTTCTCCAAATGAGGGTCCCTGTCTAGGTCCACCAGAATAGTACGGCGTCCTTATAAATATCAGCCTAAAGGGGTCTTTCATTTATAATTAGAGAACTACCAAAGCTTTTTCTGGATGTGGGGGCTTTTGGGCCGGAGTGGGCTAGAAGCAGGGTTGAGAGGGAAGTCCTGAGACACATCGATAACTACAACCTGTAGTTCCTTCATACCTTCATGGGGACGGGGCAGCTTGCGGTCTTTGGGGATTCTTAGAGCCTTAAAGTTAGGACTTTCAGTATTTGGGGGTTTCCGAAAATAGGGGTACCTTATTTGGGGGCCCTTATAATAAGGATCCTAGGGTACTTTATTAGGGCCCCCTATTTTCGGGAACTCCCATTTAGGTTTCAGCACTCTACCATGAACATCACACGGCAGCGGGAGCGCCTGACGGATGTCATTGCCGCTCTCATAAGCCCGAACCTCGGAGGGATACGAGGTGAAGCTTACAAGTTTGTAGTCTCGGCTCGCCGCCGTGGTGAGGTGTGATATGGGAGTTCTGAAAATAGTGGACCCTGGTATAGTACCCTAAATAATAAGATCCATATTATAAGCACCCCAAAACAAGGTACCCCTAATTTTGGAAACTCCCATATAGTCAGAATGACTCCGTCACCGTTTCAACCCGAACCCCTAAACCCGCAACCCTTGGCCTGAATAAGCATTAAACCCTGAAGCCCAAACATCCCAACCCAAATCCTCAAACCCCAACATTCAACCATAGACCCCGGCCCTAACTCTACTTCTGCCTCGCTACTAATTTGGGAGCCTGATTAAGCATTTGTCAGGGCTCCTTTTATGAATCCTACTATTTTGGGGGCTATAGGCCCAGGGTTTCTTAATCAGGTTCCTACATTAATTGCGTTGGCAGCTTGAGAAACCCAAGGATTCCAAGACTTCCCGACTCGCTTCCCCGATTCCCTCGCAAGCCCTTGATGATAAAGGGTACCTTGATCTTTGAAAGCTACTAGGATGCCCAGCAACCTAGGAAAAAAAGGGCTCTCTTTTGGTACTGGGTACCTTTATAAGGAACCTAGGACTACAGAAAGGGAATCAGGATACTACTGGGCATCCTAGTACCTGAAAGCAACCACTCAGGTTTAACTGGGAGACCTACAAAGACGTAGCAGTCAGGAGACCATTGGAATACGCTGGCCAGCAATGAAGCAACGGAATTGTACCGGAGACTATAGCCAAGGTCTGGACCCTTGAATTCCACGGGTCAGACCCTCCAATTCAGGATGCTTTCTTTCTCCATGGCGAATGCAGCCCTGATATCACAGAGTAGAGGGCGCTTGAATCCACTATCTCAAGTTCCAAAAAAACACTCGATATCACAGAGTAGAAGAGGGTTGAATCTATTATCTCAGGTTCCTAAACCACTCTCACACTGATTACTGGAGCTGCAGCATTATGAACCCTAAACCTTAAACTCTTAAACCCTGAACCCCATATCCCTAAACCCTAAACCCCTAAACCCTACACCCCTAAACTCCTAAACCCTAAACCCCTAAACTCCTAAGCCGCTAAACCCCAAACCCTGAACGACCCTAAACCTGCGAGGCTGTAGGTGCCCTGCCGTCTCGAGCTGTTTCGCTACGGGAGTCGCCATGGTCGCCTGAACATCTTATCCCAAGTCTATAAGGGTCTCTATAAGGGTCTCCATAAAGGTCTCCATAATCCCAAAAAGCCCCAATATGGATTTAATGACTACAAAAGGGTCGCTTTAAAGGGGCTCCTTAAGGGATGCTATAAGGGTACTATAAGGGACTTAAGGATCTAGGCGCCTTAGTACTTAGATTAGGGCTTTGGGGGGTATATTAGTCTACATTTTAATAAGGAACCCACAAAATAGTATAGGTAATTATTTGGGCCCTTATATTACCCCAAAAAGCCCTATGAATGAGGACCCAAGGATACTGGATAGACAGTGACTTCGTAGAAAAGCCATAGAGTAAGCTAGTCAAACCTACATTCCGGAGTATACACCTCAGAATCGCAATATATGACATCATCACTACCAGGGGAGGCAAGCAACATATATTCGGAGATCCCTAAAACAACCACAACCCAAAAGTACCCCAAAGCCGCAAAGTGCGCAACGCGTTCCTTAAGCGAGAGGTCTTCGGGCCCCTGGGTTGATTACACTTGCGGGTCGAGTTTCGGGGGGGGGGGGGGTATTTGGCTATGTGTGGTCCGTGCAACTTCTTCAGGTCCTGCTCCACGTCCAACATGCGTTCGTGCAGTTGATCCAGTTGAGAAGACACCTGCCTCACTTCGATGAAACTCCTGCATTCGAACCCACCACTCCTGTGCCGCTTCGTCCATCTTACATCTCATAACATCCGCCTCTCGTTCGAGATGTCTCTCTAGCTGCTGCAAACGGGCATCTTGTCGCTCCAACGACTCGAGGACAGATTTCCGGGTCCGATCCAAAATCTCCTGAAGAACAACAGCTCTCTTCTCCAGCACATTCAAACGAGCCTCGTTCTCGGACATCTAGCACAGTACGTCGAGCCGTGCACGGATGGTATGGGTATGCGGGGATCGACCCAGACATTCAAATATCCCTCATCTAACGAATATACCAGGGATCCTATTTTCAATTTTGCATTTTTACCTTAATTCAGGGATGCTGGAAGGGCTGCGGAATCTAAGCTATTATTGAATGGCTCGGGCTGGACCGACCTGGATGGCTAACCTCCATATCCGTAGTTCTCTACATCGGGTTCCCTTTTCGGGTCCTTTTTTATGGGGATGCCGTCCGATTTGGGGAGCTTGAATCAGGACCCTACTTGAGAGAACTGCCCATCTACGGGCTTTAGGTTTTACTAAGGGAATGGGGGAATGGATCCCTATAGTAGTCCCTATATGATCCCGAATGATAGCCCCCATAACCCATTGCCTACTAAGAACCAGACAGTTTAAGTTAATTAAGTATTTCGGCTCATGGTGTTTATTGGCTGTATTTCGGGCACCTTGGACTGGGAGGGTCCTAGTACCCAGACTCCTTATCCCCTTAATCCAGGAAGCTACCTTAAATTACACTAGGAAGCCTAGTAGTAAGATTTGATTAAGGTATACTCCGAAATTAATGGGGTTAGTAAGAGTTGGTGAAGGTATACTCCGAAATTAAAGGGGTTTTGGAGTCACTCAGGCCTCTGATACCATTCTGCCCTGGACTGGTCTGGTTGCATCGCGGGGATTCCATGGGGACGATGATGATGATGAGTGAAGAGGATGATGCTGCCTTTTGTTTGTGCGGACGAAACGACAGCCAGGATGGTTCTGCTGATGATGATTAAGATTATGATGACGATGTTGGTCACAACGACGACGACCGTGGCACATACTGACGAGGGCCAATGGCTGTGATGACGGTTTACTACCATATCCATACCGGTCTAGCTGCAGCAGCCTACACTTCCACTGCGACCACCACACAAAGAAATCCTGATCTGATGCCCACATAATATGATTCCCCCCATTGAACCCTAACCCGAACGCCATGTAGAATTGACTGAGGTCCCCGCCGAGTTCAGAGTGGAGCAGTGATAGCTACAGATACGGACGAGGCTTTCAATCCTCTGAGAGCGTAGATTCTAGTTGGACGTGATTGTGCGGCTGGGTCATATGAGTTGACTACGCATCACTTGAAAATTCGGAGTCTCTTACGTAAAGCGAGGATCCCATTACTTGCCCGGGCCTCCCGGT